GTTGTGCTTATGTTTCGTAATATTGAGGTAGTAACTAGACACAGTTGAAGATAAATAACAATAGAATAAACGAACTTTGCTGCCCCAGCAGTAACCTAAAACGAAAGAAATACGACACAAAACATTAATAAAATGTATTATAATTTCACAATTAATTGGTGAATTGAACTGACAGGTAGATTCTGAGTTCCAATAATTGTAACGAATTTGTAAATTGCATTTTGTTAACAATGAAAATTCGTCTTCATGATTTTATATGTGCTGTACTTATTCGGTGTCATTTCCAAAATTTGGAATTGTGTAACACGACTTTGAAAATTTCTTAAATGTTTATTGCAGAAAGTAGATGCATAATTGTAAAATTGAGTATTGTTATAAATAAACAAAGGAACTCTTTAATAAAACGGAGTAGTGAAGATTCTGTTATCTAACCCATTAAGGCAGGAAAGGGCTCTGTACAAAGCAAGTGAAATACATTGTAGCTGTGTTTATACGAGTACTTGTGGGTATGACATTCGAAATGCACCAGATATGTGTAAATTTACTTACCCGTTGTTTTGTATGGATATGAAAATTTGTGCCGCACTCTAAGGGAAGAACATAGATTGAGGGTGTCTGAAAACAAGCTTCTAAGGAGAATATTTGGGTAAAATAGGTATAAGTCATAAGAGGCTGGATAAAATTAAAGAGTTAACAGTTTCACAATTTGTACTCGTTACCGAATATTGTGAGGATGATCAGATCAGTGAGGATGATATAGCCTACACATGTAGTGTGTATGTGAGAGATTAGAAGTACATACAAAATTTTAATTGAGAGACTTTTCAGAAAGGGAACTATTTCGAGGATCCAGGCATATGTGAGGATAATATTAAGACGTATCTTGAAGAAACAGGCTGTGAGGGTGTGTATTAAATGAATATGAATCAAGCTAGGGCCCAGTGTCAGGTGGGATTTTCTGGCACGGTAATGAACCGTCGAGTTTCGTAAAGGGAATTTCTTGATAATGTCTGAGCTTTATTAGTTTCTGAAGAAGACGTAAGCTACGTGGATTTAATACGAAATTTTCCCTCTGCTTAAGTACCTTACGCTGTTTGAAAATAATACTAAAAATAAGGGCCCTACATAACTATGCAAACATTCACGGATAAGTTTCCTTCTTGTTAGTCTTTATAGATAAGTTTCTCTGACGTAAACAAAGGAAAATACGAATGAACTATTGAAGAGTACTGGATTCTGGGGCGTGGCACATGTAGTGGGCTAGATCGTTACCAATATTTCGGAGGAATTTTCTGCCTCCATCTTTAACGTAAAAAAATAACCCTGAATATTTGGTCTGCAGGTTCTTCCGAGACATTGATAACGGTCTACCAGACTGCACGCTGTCACGTCCCAGAAAATAATAATCTATATAAATATACATTTATTATATTCTTTTTATTGTCTTTGAAACCAAATTAATAACTGTCAGACTTTAAGTGTACGTTGTAGAACATTTTGGAGCAGTTATATGGCGCAACTCTGTTTTCCCCGCAAAAAGAACATCATCTTTATTCCGCTATCCCTGAATTTGCCTTAACTCTAGATGTTTGTAAAGAAGGGAATCCCATATAGGCATGGTGGGAAGAAACACATGACTTTCACAGGACAAATTAGCTGCTCCTTGTTATAGATAATAGCCTCAGTACATTGACCTCCAGGTTATGAAGGACTTAACGTTCTTTGAACACGGAGCTGAAATCTAATTGCACTGATTTTTAAAATGTAAATCTGGATTAACAAATCTGACGTGTATTAACGTGTACTGCACATAATCTGCAGTGTCTGTCTAGGCTACGTTAGTTAAGAGCTAGCTTCAATCACTGTACAACCTAAGTTTCCGAAATATTGTATTATTTTGAATAGCGGGCGATGGACGAAGTCCAAACACTCAGTAACCCGAGTGTTATACATCATCGTCAAAACTCTTCAGAGCTAACGGAAATTAATTGTTTGTAAACCCTGTTTGTAGTTCTGTTGGCTCAGACCGGAAGCAGTTCAGCCATATCGATAGAAGAATACTTCCCCGAGACCGGAAGCAATCTAACAGCAGTGACGTGGGCTCATGCTGTCAATAGCCGGCGGGAGTTGGAGGATGCAGTGAAAGGTAGAATTCCAGCAAAAAAATATGTTTTGTTAACCCTTTATGTCCCATGCACGATATATGTCGGGTGCATGGACTTCGGCTGGAGGGCAAGCCAAGCATGTGCTTCC